TCTGTCTGAACTCCAGCAGAAAATCTTATTGTCATGTCTTCTTCATGCTAAAGTAAAGTTGTCAGTCATCACAGGTTGCTAGTCAGGTAATTAGCATATTAAACATAGAATACCAGGTTGGAAGGGACCTCAAGGATCATCTGGTCCAGCCTTTCTTGGCAAAAGCACAGTCTAGGCAAGATGGCCCAGCACCTTGTCCAGCTGAATCTTAAATGTCTCGAGTGCTAGGGAATCCACCACTTCCCTGGGGAGATTATTCCAATGGCTGATTGTTCTCATTGTGAAAAATTTTCTTCTTGTGTCCAATTAGAATCTCCCGAGGAGTAATTTGCACCCATTATCCCTTGTCTTTTTCAAGTCTCCATCTTCTTTGTAGCCACCCTTTAAATACTGGAACATGGTGATAAGGTCTTCCCTCAGCCTTATTTTCTCAAGGCTGAACAAACCCAGTTCTCTCAGCCTTTCCTCATATGGCAGGCTTCCCAGTCCTCTGATCATCTTGGTGGCCCTTCTCTGGACCCTTTCCAGCCTGTCCATATCTTTTTTGCATAGCGGGGACCAAAACTGAACACCGTATTCCAGGAGTGGCCTGGCAGTCACTGAGTAGAGTGGGATAATGACTTCTGTATCTCTGCTGGTGATGCCCCTTGGTGATGCAGCCCAGCATCCTGTTGGCTAGCTTTGCCACAGCAGCACACTGTTCACTCATATTGAGCTTGTTGTCCACCAGGACCCGCAGGTCCCTTTCCACAGAGCTGCTCCCCAGCCAGGTAGATGCCAGCCTGTGCTGCACTCCTGGGTTATGTTTTCCAGGTGCAAGACCTTACACTTGTCCTTTTTGAACTTCATAAGGTTCTTGTTAGCCCACTCTTCCAGCCTATCCAGGTCAAATGAATTTTCCCATGAATAAGACATTACAAGTGGGAATCTTTGTAGTACATGTAGGTAACAGTTCAGTAGTACATGATCACGGAGTATTTCAGTAATAATTTTTAGTCTTGCTAGTTTGTGGAGCTTTGTAGGAGAAAACCAAGAATCTTGGTTAAGCTTTGCTGCATTATGTCAACAACAATAATAAAATACTTTATTTCTCTTTGGGAAGAAAGGGAAACATTTGCACCAGTAGCTGAAGTTTAATTAAATCAATTTCCCGTGAATCTTTCGAAGACCAGATATGAGCCAGATTCCCATTTCTCTATGTACTCAAAAGTTTATCTATTATTTAACTTGTACAATGGGCTGTGTTTACTCTGGTTTTATTGTTTGAAATTGTCTTCTGAATTACTGTGGGAAATGTGCTTTTGAAGCATTCTTTGAAACAGCCCATTTCTTCAAAACCAGAAAAAAGAGGAGGTCTGGGTAGACAATTTTAGGTCTTGATCCAAACCTTGTATCAGTCAGGGAAAGGACTTCTCTTTTCTTGAATGGCTTTTGAGGACAAGTGAGATACTGCAAAATATTGATAACAGGTCTGACTGTTTTTAAGAAACTTTATTGATATAAGGTAAATGGTTTTCTTAAATTAAGTTTTTTAGAAAGTAAGATTAATAAATTTTGTCAGTAAACAACAAGGTTTTTTACAGTGTTATGAAACATAGTGCTCAGAGTGCACAAGTGCACACATGTATGTATGCATATATGTAAGCACATAGATGTACCCACACGTGCTGACAGGGGAAACATCGCTGTTCATATAAATAATTTCCATCTTGATTTGTTGTATGTATACCTTATGTTAATGTCCCCTGTAGGAAGCCATGCTACCTACTCATTCCTAAGAACGTTCCAAAAGCTTGTCACTTTCTTTTCCTCCTTGCATACCTATATCGTTTTGGTTTTCTTAGGGGTTTATACTTAGCTCTAAAGCTCCATGTTCTTCCAACCCCCCCCCGCCCCAAACTTGCCATTTTACTCTTGCCGTATGAAAGTATGTGATTGACAATGAGTCATGCTGACACAGAGACATAGAGTGTTTCAGTGAATCTAAAACTTGTGGAATTTTACTCATTGCTAATACAGTGCTGCTTTTTCTTCTCTCAAATTCTGCAGAAAATCCTTATATGCAGCTTTAGTATTAGGCCCCCAAAGGCATAAACCTATTACTGAAGTCACACAATGTTATTTTACATGAAACATTCTGTCCTTTCTAACTTGAACTTCAGAAGAGGAGTCAGTCCCCTTTTATTCCTGGTGTACAATAATGAAGATAATGGAGTGGGTTTGGAGAAGCCTTATATACAGTGACAGACCTCAAGCCCTTGCCCTGAGGGTCGGCTGCCGACCATGGGATTCCTTTTGCAGCTAAAATCATTAGGCGAATGAGATACAGGCATGTTTTTCTTCTGTTTTCTTAAGGCATCAGGGGATGGCAGAGGCTCTCTGTCTGTCTGTTCTCTTCATTTGTAGAAATGAAATGGAAATCTCTTTGAAGTCACTGAGCTTGACACAAGTTCATGAAAGCAAAGACCAAAGCAGCCACTTAGTTTTTTCTTGGACTATTAATAGGATTGGATTGCTGTCTTTTAATTTATAGCTTGTGCTTGTGGAAAATTAAAACTCTGAAATCTTTCCTCTAAATGTATGGCTTGGCTTCTGGGAAAAAAAAAAAGGCAAGCAAGTAAATTTCTCTCCTATTTTTAGAATAAGCCAGAGTACTCACCGGCTCTTTACATCTCCTAACTTTTAAGTAAGAATCAATCTTTTTTTTCCGTTTTGCCAGTATATGTTTGTAACAGGTTATGTATTTGTCTTTTTATCTTTAAAATTTACGTACTGTGTCTTCTGAGGCTAGATCTGTGTTATTGTACAGAATTTTTAGAAATTTGGGATGAAAGGTATCATGGGCCACTTACCTGACCACGGAGACTGCGCACGTGAGCATGTGCCCATGTGGGTACACTCATTCATCTGCATGGCTCATTCTTCTGTAATAAGGACCTTTGAAACTCAGTTT